AGCAGCTCCAGTACTCCCAGTACGAGCACCTCCGGGACCCGCGGCACCAGCACCCTCAGCAGTCGAAGAACCTCTAGCTCCAGCAGCACGCCTCCAGCGCCGGGCAAACCACTCTCGCAGCTCCTGTGGAGAGAGTGGCTCCCGCCGAGACGAAGTACCCGGAGAACCTCCAGGCTCAGCACCGCCAGACGCCACACGAGCAGGCCCAGCTCCCTCAGGCTCCGCACCCCTAGGCTCAGCACCTCCAGGCGTAGCACCCCCAGGCTCAGCACCCCCAGGCGTAGCACCCCCAGGCTCAGCACCCCCAGGCTCAGCACCCCCAGTAGTAGCACCCCCAGGCTCAGCACCCCCAGGCTCAGCACCCCCAGTAGTAGCACCCTCAGGCTCAGCACCCCCAGGCGTAGCACCCACACGCTCAGTACCCCCAGAGTCAGCACCCCCAGGCTCAGCACCCTCAGCAGCACCAGAGTCACCAGTAACCTCGACAGGCTCGACTGCGTCTACCTGGGACACACCTGAAGGGGCAGGACCCTGAGGGGGGAGGGGGTCTACCGGGGGGGGACCTGGCACAAGGAAGAGCGGTGGCGGGGGGAGGGAAGGAGTGCGGTAGGGGAAGAGGCGGTAGTAGGGGACCGACTCGTCAAACGTGACGTCCTGGGAGGACAGAACACGGCGAGAGGTGGGGTGGTAGAACTGCCACCCTGGCGCGTCAGGGGGGAAGCCAAGGAAGACGCAAGGAGCAGCACGAGGGGACAGCTTGTCCGCAGACAAGTCGCGGACAAACGCCCGAGATCCCCAGACACGGAACGCAGACGCATCGCCAACCTTCCCCGTCCACAGCAAAGCTGGGGAGGTCTCCGGCATGGAGACCCTGGGGTGAAGGTTGATCTGATGCGCCGCGTACCGAACCGCAAACGGCCACAGAAAATGGGGGGCAGCCGCATGCATCATGGACGTACGGGCGACGTCCATGACCATGCCAATGCGGCGCTCAGCAATCCCATTTTGCTGTGGAGAGTCCGGAAGCGTGAAGGTCTGGCGGATGCCTCGTGCACGACAGTAGGCTCGCAGAAGGCCAGAGGAGAACTCTCCACCTCTGTCAGAGTGCAGACGCAGAACAGGAAAGTCCGAGCCGAAGCTCTGCCTGAGCTGGAGACGAGCTGCGCGAATCCAGTCGATCAACACCTCAGTGACATCACCCTTGCTGCGCAAGGGGAAGATCGTGGTGTAACGCGAGTAGTCGTCAACCACCAGCAGGAAGTAGCGCTCGTGACCCTGTCCACGGACGCGGGCCGGGCCCCACACGTCCATGTGAAGCGTCTGCAGCGGGGCCTCTGTCGGAGGAAACTGGGAGGAGTGAGGGGCAGCCCGCTGCCACCCCTCGACACAAGGGACGCAGGTAGGGCCGGGCCCCGGAGGAAGGGGAGGGAGGGACCGGGGAAGACCAGAGACAAGGACACGGGAGGCCATGCCTCGGAGACGAAGCAGGGAGGGGTGACCAAGGCGGTGGTGCCAGAGGAGAGTCTCGTGCGACAGGAGGCGACACGAACAGGGGGCAGACTCAGGACCAGACCTGGACGCTGCAGCAAACACCTGACCCGACGCAGCTACCTGACCAGACGCAGTGACTGGAGGAGACGCAGTGGTCAGTGTGTACAGGCTCGACCCCGGCCGACGTGTAAACGTGGCCAGGTGTCGGCCTGTCCGAGCGTCCGTGCAGTGGGTCACCCGCTGACTCGCAGGAGTGAACTGGTGAACCCCCGCATCCTGTAGGTCAGCACCACTCACCAAGTTCGTAGAGAACGAGGGGAGGTAAAGACCAGACAGGGTGCCAGAGGGGGCCGTCGGACACGGGAGGACAGTGGAGAAGTGAGCAAGGACAGGACCCCCAGAGGGGTCTGCCAGAGAGACTGCAACTGGCCGGCCAAGCGGCGTGAGTGTGGTGCGGTCTCGAAAGAAGGAGCGAGAAGCCCCCGAGTCAAGGGTGAAGGTGTGGGAGGCCGAAGCCGACGCAGTACCTGAGAGAGCAGACTCACCAGCACCTGAGGGAGCAGACGCACGAGCACCTAGAGCAGCAGCCTCGCTAGCACCTAGAGCAGCAGCCTCACCAGTACCTAGAGCAGCAGTCTCAATGCCCGGGTCGGGCGGAAAACACCGGTAACAGTCACCCTCATCACTAATAGTCACAGCATACATGGCAGCAAGAATAGCATCAAAGTCAAGGTCAAAGACAGCTACACCCGCCCTAGACAGCTCGCCCCAGCGGGGGATCTCAGTGGCCTCAGGGAACTGGTGACACCAAGCGTCCGTCAGGCGGCCAAAGCAGCGCTGGGTGGAGTGCGCACCCCCACACTGCTCACCCGCGCGGTCGCCGGTGCGTAGGACGTAGGTGCACGGACCAGTACCCCCACCCCGCTGGCGTGCAGCGTACCACTCACGGAGCTGCTGAGGGGGGGGGATGTCACGAGTGCGCTGCTGCCGCTGCTGCTGCTGCTGCTGGCGCTGACCACCACCGGAGCCGACCCTCTGCCCAGCGCCACCCCGACCAGCTCCACCTCCTCCGCCGCCGCCTCCTCCACCGCCGCCACCTCCGCCACCTCCGCTCCCACCGCCACCGCTGCCGCCGCCTCCGCCTCCACTGCCGCCACCGACACCTCCACCCTCGCCACCACTCCCACCACCACCCCCACCCCCTCCACTGCCGCCACCGCCACCTCCGCCACCCCCGCCAGCCCCTCCAGCACCCTTGCTCCCCTTGCCCTTGCCGGTGCGGCGTCTCCCGCTCGGGGCAGACGCAGCGCCGACCGACTCGAGACCAACGAGGTCGGCCGCAGCAGCAGAGGCAACAGAGGGCAAAAGGGGGGAGGGGGAACACCCCTCAAAGACGGGGGTGCGAGGGTCACCACGAGAGGCTCCTACAGCGACTATGCTCTTCTCTGCTGCTAGGAGGGCCTTCTCGAGGAGGTCAACGGTGAGAGTGGTGGGGCAAACTGAGAGGAAGTGGTCCCTGACTACGCGAAGGGAGTCAGGGAGCCGGGTGACTATGTAGTAGAGGGTGATGTACATGGGGGGGGGGTTCTTGGCGCAGAACTCAGCAGGAAGCGCAGCGCGGTAGCGAGTGTCACTAGTGCGGAGGTGCGTAACGAGGTCAGCGACTGTGGGAAAGGCAGCAAGGTCAGGGAAGAGGTACGGTAGCATGAGGCGGCTCAGTGCAGCAGTGGCAGGGGAGGAGTAGCGCGCAACTACAGCGTCGTACAAGGTGTGAGCACTCTTGTACTGGCTAAAGTGCGCACGCTCAGAGGTAGGCAGGTGGCGACGCACAGCTAGACGTGCAGCAGCATCGCGTGTGGCCCACTGTGAGCGAACAGTGGCGTCGGCATCAGCAGCAGGGGCAGGAGAGGCACCAGAGGTGAGGTCAAAGAGGGAGAGACCGTCTGCCCTATCGCACTGTAAGAAAAGCTGCAGGTCATCTACCCAGACGTCAAAGTCAATGGCCCGACCCTCAGCGTCAAAGGCGAGGACACTAGGGGTAGCCATGACAGCAGTAGACTAGCAGTGCGAACAGTAGGGTAAGGGCAGTGCAGTGATAGAGGCGCTACTCTTACCGGACAGGGCGGCTCGGGCGGCTCGGCGGCTCGGCGGCTCGGCAGGACGGCGGGTCGGCGACACGGCGGCTCGGGCGGCTCGGCGGCTCGGGCGGCTCGGGCGACTCGGCGGCTCGGGCGGCTCGGGCGGCTCGGCAACTCGGCGGCCCGGGCGGTTCGGCGGTCGGCTGCTGGGCGGCTCGGCGGCTCGTCGGCTCGGCTGCTCGGCTGCAGGACGGCTCGGCGGCTCGGGTGCTCGGCTGCTGGGCGGCTCGGCGGCTGGTGTGGTTGGTGACGACCGCGGCAGCAGTCGCAGAAGCTGTGGCGACTGCTACTACAGAGACGGCTGCGGCTGCTGCCTCAGGGACGGCGGCTGCCGGCCGCTAGGGGCCGCGAAGAGCGGCGGAGAGGCCGTGAAGGGCGCCACGAGGGGCCGTCGAGGGCGGCGACAGGCCGTGAGGAGGCCGCGGAAGGCGGCTCGAGGGGCCGCGAGGGGGCCGTAAGGGGCCGACTGGCGACGGGAAGGGCCGAAGGGGCCGCGGGAGGGCCCGTAAGGGTAGCGCGAGGGGCCGTAAGGGCGGCACGAGGGGCCGTAAGGGCGGCACGAGGGGCCGTGAGGGCGGCGCGACGGGCGCGACGGGCCGTAAGGGCGGCACGAGGGGCCGTGAGGGCGGCGCGACGGGCGCGACGGGCCGTAAGGGCGGCGCGACGGGCCGTAAGGGCGGCGCGACGAGCCGTAAGGGCGGCGCTAGGGAGCCGTGAGAGGGCCGCTAAGGGCGACGCGACGGGGCCGTGAGGGGCCTAGCGAGGGCGCGACGGTAGGGAGAGCACACAGTGCGCGACTCGGGCCGGAGCGAAGCGCGCTCCGGGCAGGAAAAAAAAATTTCGTGGTGGTGGGCCCTAGGAATCGTTCCCACTAGGGAACCTGCTCGATACCATGAGAAGAAACGAGAAATGGATTGACTAAGGGAAAGTTGGGTACAAATGTGAACCCTAGAAAACTGTACCCCATATGGGCTACCCCACTATAGCCTACAGTAGCGATGTCATATAAATCTGACACCTTCGCCAACCTGATGGGATTGCAACCAATCACAGGTGCTCCCAACCAAACCCAACAAAGTTGCGATTGACTTGTGAGGTTACCCGGTTTCGAGCGTATTACTCTTGGTTGGAAAGAGGAAATATGAGACGCGGGTTTTAACATTTAAGTGCAATATTAACCAGAGTACTTCCTACCTACCGTAGTTACAAATGTTTGAAAGTGAAAATCATAGGGGTGTGCTTTGTGATGAGGACAACCTAAGGGTTGCTTGCATGGAATGGCTTCAAAAAATTACTGCAACAATGGCCTGGTGGCACTTGGAAACTTCCAATAATACCCCTTCAATCCCCATAGGAGCGCTCACAGGAAAATCAAGCTTTGTTGGCAATCATGCCAGATTGGCGGGCAAAGTTGAAAATACCCCCAGCGTCAATCACGGGCCCGGCTTCCCCAATGGGCTTCAGAGCGTACTGCTTGCCTGTGGTGTGGTGGATCAGCAGATCATGCTCCAGATCTACGGTCACCTCATCCCCCGACTTAATCACCTCGCACAGCCTCGCGCCAAGTCCCTCCGCCGCCTCAACCGGGTACAACTCCCCGGTCGCGACGCAGTTGCGGAAGAAAATCCGCGCGTACGACTCCGCCACCACCGCACGGCAGCCCGCCGCGCCGAGCGCAACGGGCGCGTGCTCGCGCGACGACCCGCAGCCGAAGTTAGCCCCGCCGATGATGATGGCGTACTCCGTCTTCATCTGCCCCTTCTGCACGTAACGCAGCGTGTGCTTCGCGGGCAGCCCCGCCATCGCGTAGCTCCCGAGCTTCTCGTACTCGTCGGGGTTGGACGGCACGAGCGTTAGGTACTCGGCGGGAATAATCTGATCCGTGTCGATGTTGTCCTCCAGCACGAAGCACTTGCCGCGGATGATGCGCCCGGACGGCTCAGATCCGTCGCCGCCCGCCATCGCACGGACGGGAGTGACTGCCGCGGCGCTAGCAGATCGCGAGGGGCGGGAGGTCTGGCGCGCGCATTGGCGGGAAAGCGAGGTAAGAGTCGGGGAAGTGGAGCTGAGGGACGAGAGTGCGCGGCAGGGTAAGGCGGCTGGCAACGAAACGCTGCTAGATGGTTGGCTCAAAGGCGCTGCAGCGGCCGGCATAACGAAGGCAGCGGTCGCGTGAGACGCCATTTGGCACGCCATTTTTCAGCGGTGCGTCGGACAAAGTATGGGAGCGTAAAAAAAGCACGGGAGCTCACGGATAAAACGTGAGACCTGACGTGAAAGGCGGGATAGGTCACGGTTGCTTGGGTGTCTGTTCATATCAAACCCTGAACCGTTGCCCGAGATTCAGCATCCGCGTTGTTGGCGTTCCACTTGTGGAGTTGACAATACACTGAGCCTGTTAGTGCGATTTAAAGGTACCACTGGTTTGTAAACATACATCTAAAAGAGGTCCCAAAATTTGCCAAACGAAACCTTTTGTGGCGAACCTTGTTACGAAATTTGGTTAGATTGCACATTGGTTCGATGTGGGCTCCCTATTATTTGGAAAGTCGTGACACTTGGTCGAAATGGTGCGTACAATTGCGCCCCGAAGCGTGTTACGGACGACCTTTGCTCCACCGGTCGAACCCCTGAACCACTGAGTGGCCTGAGTCGTTTTCTGACTGTTCGCCACGAAGCCTCGTGACAGATTCTGGACCCGCGAGCTCGACGGAACGATCTTGAGCTGAGTGCAGTTGACATCCTAATGCCAACCAAGACCAACCTCCACAAGGCTTGCGCTAAACACTTCACTTAGCACGCGTGTAAGTACTTCAGTTCCGTTGACAGATCTTAGTTAGACCTAGATTCTAGGCTCCTGCCTCCAAGCCGCACAAGCATCTCCCCAGCGGTCGAGCTCATAGAATAAAATACTCTGATAACTACAATACTCTGATAACTACTGACCTGAGCTTGCCATTGCCCTAGCACTCCAAAGTGACCCATATTCCCAACGTCAAATCTCATCGTAGACTCAACCGCGACCTAGGATTTCCGCGGCTCGTTACGAGGACTCTGCAGCTCAGCGGCTTACCTGCTGCCCGGCTGTGCGTACCTGCTCACCGGCTGTGTGTACCGGCTGACCGGCTAACCGGCTGAGCCGGCTGTGCTGCGAACTACCTGCTGACCGGCTGCGCATATACCTGCGGAATGGCGGGGAAGGAGGGGAAGGAGACGGGCCTCGAGCCGTACGTAGACCGTGAGTCGCCGTCCGCTCGCTCGCCGCTTCCCTGCCTCTGTGATTTGCCGTCCGTTCACCTCTCAACACCCGTTATCTGTCTGTATTCCCCTCTACTTGTGTGCGCAATTGCCGTTGTGAATGACGATACACGTAACTAACGTCCGTGTGTGCGTGTGCTGCTGGTGTATTTGCTTGTGTGGTTGCTTGCGCGCGCGAGGTAACAACTGGGCGGGGGCTACTGGAGGGTGTGGCGCGGGGAGGAAAGGGGCTGTGCGGAGGGGAAGGGGGGTGTGGGGGCCTTGGGTGTGGGAGGGGTTGGGGGGCGTGGGGAGGGGCGGCTGGTGTCCGCGGAGGGGAGGGGGAGGAGTGGTGTGCGTGTGCAGTGACTGTGTCGGTGATCACCAATGACGGCCGCAACATCGTGGTGAGTGAGAGCTACTCTTCGAAACTGTTATTCGAAACAGTACTGATGACACGCTCATCCATTTTGGAGTGTTCAACTCCACCCATTTGACGAGCATTCAGACAGGCCTTTCGAGAACAACAAGCTTCCGGTAATAAGCTGCTGTCAGCCTTTCCTCTCTTAGCCTCATTCACCACTCCACCTGAACCTGGCGATTCCTTCAAGTGTCTCCACTTTATTCTCACATCACACCTCCCATGCTCTCCTGCGTACGTGTGCGTGCTGGCACGTGCAGGGCGTGCTGAAGGGGTTTGACCAGGCGACCAACATCATTCTGGACGAGTCACACGAGCGCGTCTACTCCACCAAGGCAAGCCCGCCTCCATGCCTCCATCCATATTCACTCCCACCGCACCGCCATGCCACCTCATGCCCACGCTTTCTCGTTTCTACCCTGAGCATCCACCTTTTTTTCTATCACACCCCACTTGTGTCCACCTCCCTCCTGTCTCTGCTGGCCCCTTCCTCCTCCTTTCTCTTTTTATAACGCCCTGCCCTGCCCGCTCTGCTGCTTCCATGCGTGACATCCTCGTAAGGCTGCCCATTTTTATTTCCCTACATTTCTCTCGCTGCCTTTAAAGCATCCCGTTGCTGCATTCATCTTCCTTGTCTGCATTACCCCTTGTCCTCTCCACCTCGCCTACGCTTCTCCCGGTTGCTGCCTCTCCCATTCCCTCTGCACTTCTGCTGGTCGCGCCAAGAAGCCCCCACTTGTGGCCGAATCCCTCTCTAGGCCTCCCTGCAACAAGCAGCGGTGGCATGCTTGCTCACGAGGAGCTGTCAGTGTTGAGTTGCGGCGCCTCAGAGAAGCCTTTCTGCGTTGCTCTCTTTTGTCACATCTCCCCCTCCGCGGTGCAGCACGGTGTGGAGCAGCTGGTGCTGGGGCTGTACATCATCCGCGGTGACAACATGTAAGGGTCGTGGGGGGGTGGTGGGGACATGGGCAAGACATGAGGGGGTGATGGGAGCATGTGCGGGACATGAGAGGTTGATGGGGGCATGGGCGGGACATGAGGGGGTGATGGGGGCATGGGCGGGACATGAGAGGTTGATGGGGGCATGGGCGGGACGTGAGAGGTTGATGGGGGCATGGGCGGGACATGAGAGGTTGATGGGGGCATGGGCGGGACATGAGAGGTTGATGGGGGCATGGGCGGGACATGAGGGGGTGATGGGGGCATGGGCGGGACATGAGAGGGTGATGGGGGCATCGGCGGGACATGAGAGGTTGATGGGGGCATGGGCGGGACATGAGAGGTTGATGGGGGCATGGCCGGGACATGAGAGGTTGATGGGGGCATGGGCGGGACATGAGGGGGTGATGGGGGCATGGGCGGGACATGAGAGGGTGATGGGGGCATGGGCGGGACATGAGAGGGTGATGGGGGCATGGGCGGGACATGAGAGGTTGATGGGGGCATGGCCGGGACATGAGAGGTTGATGGGGGCATGGCCGGGACATGAGAGGTTGATGGGGGCATGGGCGGGACATGAGGGTGTGATGAAGACGAGTGTACCATTGTGCTGGTAAAAAAATTCCACTCTCATGCCGATGAAGTACCCGTTCCTCACAATCCCCCCTCGTTGGTGCTTTCTCCCTCGCCCCACAACCTCCGCTTCCCTCTCCACCTGTGCACCTCCTCCTGCCTTCTCCTCACCCCATTCGTTGCCCTCCGCCAATATGTCTGCACCCGCGTGCAATACGATGCAGAGCGGTGGTGGGCGAGTTGGACGAGGACCTCGACTCAAGTCTCGACTTCGATGCTCTCAGAGCGCAGCCGCTGCAGCCCGTGTGCCACTGATGGCACGTGTTTCCCGACATCCATTTTCTTTCTAACAAGGGGTTAACCTTGGTGTTTTGTACGTTGTTTTTGGATTTTCACTCTCTAATAAATATTAGGGTCGCAAAAAATAACAGCATGCGTCAATCCTCTTCGAATTTGTACTGATTTCAGGATCCATGCTTACATTGTTGATGCTGTATGAATCACTTTGCATTCTGTGATGCTACACGAATATCTTTCAAGCACTGCAATTGTGTTTGTATCGGACTACACTGTCCAGCGGTTGAAAATCTGCATTCTCGATGGCTCCCGTCAGCCGTGACGCATTCAATTTTGTCCCATCCTCCTATCCGTCCATCCAGTGACCACGCGATGGCTGGCGCCTTCGCGTCCATGCTCCGAGCTCGCCTCCCCGCACTGCGCGCCGCTGCAGCCGCCACATCGTGTGTCGCCGCAGCTGCAGCATCAACCTCGTTAGAAGCAGCTCCGGCAAGGTCGTCTGCAGCTCCAGTGTCAGCTGGCGACGAACGCGAGGAGTCGAAGGCGAGCTGCGGCGGCGATGGCGTGCGGGATCGCAGTGACAGCTGCGGCGGCGGCGGCGGCAGGAGTTCGCGTGTAGAGCTGACGTGCGGTGGGTGTGGCTTTCGACTCGCGCGAATTCAGGTCCAGTCAAGACCGTTGACGTGGACTCAGGTCAACAGCAGTCGTCTCAAGCCGTTATCTTAGCTCCCAGCGTTGCGAGCTCGACTCAGCTTCTAGAATCGCGGGTCTAAGCCGTTCTGCTAGACGTGGCGGCGGTTTGGCTGATAGAGCGGAATTGATTTGATGTCACGAGTGGCGACATCTGGATGAACGTCACTAGACCGTGCATGCCTTTTCCCATCCAAGGATGCCTCTTCCCATCTCCGAACCGCACGTTTGCCCCTTCTTTCTCCACTTGAATTGTTCTTTAAAGCCCTCGTAAGAGCCCAACGTCCTCTCCCTCTCTTCCCTAGCTTGCCCTGCTTCCCACCCTGCCTTTTGACTTCCCATCCCATGCGCCTCTCCTCTCCCTCATGCGTGCTGCACATCAGGCGCGCTTCACGTCCCCCTGCCGCTAGACAAGCTCATGTGCCACGTTGCAGGCACTGGTAGGCCGCAAGACGCCAGCGGCAACTCGTTGTTCAAAGGGCAGCCTCCTGGCGACCACCCTCAGGCGGTTCTGCTGCTTCCTGGAAGCTTCAACCCGCCCACGATTATGCACCTGAGGATGCTGGGTGCGTGGGTGGCTGGTAGAGGGTCCACGGGGAGTCAGCTCAGGTCACGGTGGGCATTGCAGAGAGCCATCCGAGTTCATCTCTTCAACAAGAGAACGATCAGTGATCGATCGTACTTTTTACACCATAATGTGCAGTCAGCAGCCATGCTAGTGCATTGAAAGGGCTTGGCGGTGGGGGTGGAAGTCGGGGGTTCCTTCCAACCATGCACATGCCAGATCACTCTGGCACTTGAGTCTCACCACCTATGCCACTGCGGCATCTGAAAGCTCGCCAGACCTGCTTCTGCACACTCACTGCCATTTCTTTCCTGCTCGCTCCAACAGTCTCTCACTTGCCAATCCCCTAACCTTTCGGGCCGTAAAAAAGAGGCTATGGCTAAGACATGGCAATCAGGTTTGTTGAGGTCAGTTGTGTGGTGGAACGCCCTGCTGCCCCTCGCCCCTCCCTCCCGCCTTGTCTGCAGAGATGGCACGGGATGCACTGCAGGACCGCGGGTGGGACGTGGTTGGTGCGTACATGTCGCCAGTCAATGACCAGTACGGTAAACAGGTGCGCTTGTAACGACACGAGTATGAAATAGTGGCATGCATGCGGGCATCAGCATGCCTTCTTGCGTTTGATCTCATCGCCATGCATCTCATCGCCATGCATCTCATCGCCATGCATCTCATCGCCATGGCTGTCCACCGTTCGCTGCTGACCCTCATCTTGAATTGAGTGTGGCCCCTTGTCGCCCTCCCACGGCCCCCTTTGATCCTCTGCCCCTTCCTCCTCTCCATCCTTCCCACGC